TAATGTTTTTTTTTTTCTTTTTCTTTTTTTTTTTTTTTTTTAGAGGGAAAGATAGTCGAGAAAATTTGTAGAATTTTCTTGCATTAAATATTAATTTTTATTTATTCAGGTTTAATTTCTATTCTTCAAATTCGAATGCTACTTTTGAATTTTTTACTTTTTAAAAATAGGATATTTTGAACAATATATGGTAGTCACCACCCTATCCAAAAGCCCTTTGTGTTATATTTCTTAAATACGAGAATTAATTCTCGGACAAATCAAATGGCGAATGAGTACAATTAGAATAATATATTTTTTCACGAGAAATTGAGTTTGAATTGAGCATGATTTATGTTAAAAAAAAATTGCTAGGCCAATCAAAAAAATTATTTTTGGGACCTCATAATAATTTATTGAATATAATATCAAAATTTTTAAGACCGACGTTGCATTAATGTGGTGATTGTTGTGCACTTTGTCAATTGTTTGTAGGTGTTGTGGAAATTGATTGCTTGAGGGTGGTCCAAAGCCTCAAGAAGGATCTTGGTCACATATGTTGTTATTTCAATTGAAATTATTTTTATGTTTAGACATAGGATTTTGTCCATGTTGCTTTATCTCTCGCAAGGGAAATAAAATAGCCTGTAAAGTTGTATCTCAATTTGCTTTTAATTCTTTGGTTACAAGATGAATTCATTGGTTTCGATGTGCTCTTTCCCATTATCTTGACGATTTTATTTAATGGATGTGACATATTCATGATTAAAAATTAATAATAATAATAATAATAATAAGTGCAATTTATTTGTTTGAGCAGCATCTTTTTTAAAAAAATACATCTTTAAACAATGATTTGACATCATTGCAATCACGTATTATTAAATAAAGTAATATTACACTAAAATCCAAAACTTTTCAACATTTTTTAACCACACATTTTTCATCAGCCTACTATCTCAAAATACATTCTTTCAAAATATTGTAACTCAAACACACACTAGAACTTGAATTCTTAAAAAACTTAACCTACTATTTCACTTTAAAAAATCTGCATTTTTTAAGCAAGTTTTGCTATTCGAACATACAGAACTGCTCTCTTCCCCGAATCGAGAAGAGAGCTTTTTCCCGATTTTCAATTTTTTATTCATTTTATTGCCTTTTGCCTTTTTCAACTCCCCACTCCTTAACTTGCCCACCCCCTACCCATTTACTAATTTTTGTACAATATCTTAAGGATACGATTTAAATCGTGTAAAAAAAATTTGTGCAATACCCTTAAGAAAAAAAGGAAAAAATTGATCTCATACTCTTAAAAAAAAAAAAAAATTTAGTTGCTCTTGGCTGCCAGGAAAAAAAAGGGGGAAAAAACTTGATAAGTTGCTCCGCGCAGCCAAGAGAAGAAAAAAAAATAATTGGACGATTAATTTTTTTTGTGTCAACTTTTTTAATACACGCGTTTGATGTACATTTAACTATTTTCGATATTCATTTAGATCATTTGATATGTTTATGATATAGATATCGAAATGAACTTCTTGAGAATATAGAAGATCTATGTATTTGACTACCGTATAATCGTCTTTTTTTTTCATAAAAATGATCGAATTTTTTTATGTCTAAAAATTTTTCAGATATAAAAATAATGATGATGAAAAAATAGTATAATAATTTATAACCCGCATAAAGTATAAAGTGATAATAATTTTATTAGGAATTTTTACGTCCCAAAAAAAAAAAATTGACGTCAAATCACATAAATTTGTTTTTATAAAATGATTTAAATTATATTGAAAAATTTGTCGCGAAAAAATAATAAATATTAATAAAATAATTTATTTTTTTGAAAAAAAAGACGATTTTTACGCAATTTTTAACACATACGTTTGATGTACGTTTAATTATTTTCGATATTCATTTAGATCATTCGATATGTTTATGATATAGTTCTCGAAATGAGTTTCGAGAGAATATAGAAGATTTATTAATTCGACTAACGTACAATCGTCGATGAATTTTTAAAGTTAGCTTGGTATCAAAAGTTTCGAAATACAAGTTTGGAAATGTCTACTTTGACGCGTCGTAACATTTGCTACGATTGACCGTTTCGCGCACCGTTAACGACTTGAAATTCATGAGTACTTCAAAATGATATTAAGAATGTAATATTTCGACTTCGTTTGATATCCCATAATAAGTCCAAAAATCAAGACAAAAACATAAAAAATTTATGAATTTATTATCAATTATTTTTTTCTTCTCCTGGCTGCGCGGAGCAACTTATCAAGTTTTTTCCTTTTTTTTTCCTAGCAACTAGAGCACCTGGCTGCGTGGAGCAACTTAATTTTTTTTTTTTTTAGAGTATGAGATCAATTTTTTCCTTTTTTCTTAAGGGTATTGCACAAATTTTTTTACACGATTTAAATCGTACCCTTAAGATATTTTAAATTTTTAAAATACATTTTTTAACTATTTTTTTTAAATTCATCGACAATTGTACGGTAGTCAAATGCATAAATCTTCTATATTCTCTCGAAATTCATTTCAAGATCTATATCATAGACAAATCGAATGATCTAAATGAATATCGAAAATAGTTAAACGTACATCAAACGCATGTATTAAAAAAGTTGACACAAAAAATTAATCGTCCAATTATTTTTTTTCTTCTCCTAGCAACCAGAAGCACTTGCTCCTGGCTGCGCGGAGCAACTTAATATTTATTTATTATTATTATTTTTTTTTTTTTAAGTATGAGATCAATTTTTTCCTTTTTTCTTAAGGGTATTGCACAAAATTTTTTACACGATTTAAATTGTATCCTTAAGATATTGCACAAAAATTAGTAAATGGGTAGGGGGTGGGGAGTTGAAAAAGGCAAAAGGCAATAAAATGAATAAAAAATTGAAAATCGGGAAAAGGCTCTCTTCCCGATTCGGGGAAGAGAGCAGTTTTGTTCGAACATATGGGATGAGACAGTGGATGACTGAACACACACATGGAGGTCGACATTTTTTAATTCACGCGGGAGCCACATGCAATGTGATGATCGACCAGTCGGCATGTCAAAATTTTTCGAAAAACCAACTAAGCACACCTAAAGGTCCAAAACGCGCTCTTAATCATACACGTAACTAAGCATATACCTCATCACACCGAACCCAATTCCAATTTTCGCATATTTATCCATTTTGATGCTACCAAAAAATATCACCTGAAAGATCTCGAGTTTGATGGTCCAACTTCACTTTGATGAACACAACCGGTCTGTGATTACCTGCAACAAAGGCAACGAGGTGTGTGCTCGTCGCCCCTCCGATGCTTAAGTCAGATGGAGAATTTAGTGCGTGAGGCTATAAACTGAAGATAATGAAAAATGTACCTTAGTGTTGAGTTTTGGCCAAGTATTTATAGGTGTTGGTGGGGGAGCTGTAGAAGGATTCTATTATTGAAAGAGTCCTTTCCCTCTTAGGATTAGGTGTTGGAGTCTGATTAGAAGTATTCTATTAGAATTCTAATCAGGGGAGGAGTAGACTTAGGTGGGGTCTATTTTCTTTTGGAGATTAAGTCGGTGGGCAGGGTTGGAAAAGATACCCAACCTTGAGTAAACCCCGACCTCAAATCGGCACAACACACTAAGATCAACTCGGGGTATTAGGTCGAGGTCGAGCATGGCACACGAAATCAGGTATAGTTCGGGGTTACTAATCCAGAATCATCATAGGCCCCGTGCATCTGAGTTGTAGATCGTGAAGGGTATGCGATCTTAGATTGAGATGCAAAAAGGATGTCGTGGCTTGATATCGACCTCGACACCTGTCAATTACCTGTTGGAGATATACAATGTCACGTGTCTGTCATGTGGCTGGTTGTTAGAGCTCGAACTTGGATCTCTGCCACGTGTCCTGTTTTAAGGGTTTTAGATTAAGTGACTATTGGTATGCCCATGACCCCTATAAATACCCCACTATTCATTTTCACTTTTTACTCTCCACTCTCTGTAAAAGAAGCTCGAGTTTGGGGATAGTGGGTTGTGAGGGATCTCCATTAAGGTAAGAGTTCAAGCCTTTAAGTTGTTAATTATTTGAGTAGAGTAATGTCGAGTAGTAGCAGTAGTGGTAGTGGTAGTAGTAGCAGTAGGGGGTCGAGTAATAGTGACAGTAGTAGGCTTTCTAAGAGTTCGGGGGATAATGAGAAACCTACTACCCCTAGTATAGCTGTCGAGACTCCGGGTGATCAAGGTCGAGATCTTGTCACCTTGCCTTATTAGCTCGCACTCTCCAGGAGAGGTATTGGCTTATCCAAAGAACCCGACCATTTATAAAGAACATGTAATTATTAAGATAGCTAGAGAGTTCGGGGTAATGCCCATTTGTGATGTTAGGGTTCCTGAAAATACCGAAGATATCTTAGGAGCTCGAGAGGGGGAGATGACGTTTTTTAGGGATGCCCTTAAGGCTGGGATGCGGTGGCCTCTTCACCCCTTTTTTATCCACTTTCTAACTTCATTCTATATGTGTCCGGGCCAGTTAGCTCCTAACGGTTGGAGGCTTTTGGTCTATTTCTTTATATTATGTAGATGCCTCGATATCGAGCCTAGGGTCGACCTTCTGAGGATGGTGTATGATATGAAGTATTCGTCGGGGTTTAACTGTTTTGTGTATTTGTCAGCAAGGGGGGGGGGTTCAGAACGCCTGATACCCCGAGCTCTCTTTGGGGTTGGAAAGAGAGATTTTTCTTTGTAAAGCCCCAGAATCTCGACCATCCTTTTAGCCTGAGGTGGGAGATCCCTAGTAAGGATCGGTTTAATGAGGGTCAGGCGTATTTTGAGGTTCTAGAGAGGGACAGATTAAGGTTAGAAAACCACGACCCTTTGGCAGAGAAGATTGATTATTTGCTCGAGGATGACACCCTTGACCTTGCAAATGTAAAAGGCTTCGAGGGTATGTTTTTTACTTTTTAAGCTCTATCGTTGTATTCTTGACGTCGAGATCGTGCTAATGCCTTATGATTTGTTTCTTGCAGATCTTGAGATGTCTTTTGATCCATCCAAATTGTTGGCCAATGTCCACCATAAGGCCAAGGGGCCGACGTCCAAAGCCCCGGCCTCAAAAAAGGGAAAGAAGAGGGCCAGGCACGCCGATGTTAGGGTTCTTGAGGTTCCTCTTGAGAGCTCAGTGCCTCCTAGAGGTCAACCCTCGATGTCAAGGAGCCCAACCTCAGCACCTCGTCCGAAGTCGAAATATGAAGATCGAGCTCGGGGCAGTTATGGCGTCGCGGATTTAGGCTTCGAGCCTATTTCAGATAGTGCCCTCGAGAAATACACAGAGTGTGTCCTGGTGAAGGACCTTGTTGAAAGGTTCGAGAAGGAGGTTAACATCAATGAAGGGGTCAAGACACTGGAGGCTTTGACCTTAAGGGTAAGATACCGACCTTAACTGTATTTTTTATTTTTTAATCTTCTTTGATCGAACTAACTTCGGGTTTCCTTTCTTTCTTTGTGCAGACGCTGAGTATGGCGCGAGGTCTTACCTTGAATGGTATCAATATCTCGAATGAAATGGACGAGGTATTAAAGGAAAAGGAGCGAGCTAAAAAGCGAGCTTGTGACTTGGAAAAAGCTCTCAAGACTACTGAGGCTGACCTCAAGAAGTCTCGAGAGGAACTGGAGACATCCAAGGCTGAGGTCGAGGAAGTTAAGCTCGAGCTTCTCCAGCCCCAGAGGAGCTTCGGCGAAGCGCTCGCAAAGGCTCGTGAGGAGGCTCGAGCTCAGGCTGTTGAAGACTTCAAGAAGTCCGACGAGTTTAGGACCCTGCTAGGACAGTACGGGTCGGGCTCTTACCATTACGGGCTTCACCTTGCCCCTTCTTATCTTTGCACGAAGATACCTGAGGATTTAAAGTCCCTCGTTGAGGACTTGAAGACAGTGAACGAGCTCGCAGGGGAGCTCGAACTTTCGGCTTCTGAGGTCGAGGACGACGGTGAAGATGATGATGATGGTGATGGAGATGACGCCGGGACTGGCGATCAAGGGGATGATGTCAAGGTTGTAGATATCGATTAGGTTTTTAACTTTGTTTAAAATTTTTTGTAATGTTGCCCGAACTGGGCTGATACTTTTGCTATTAATTTCATCGATCAATGTTCGTGCACTTTACTTGTTTTTAATTTAATGATTGATTAATGTTCGTTCACATTACTGTTTTTAATTGATGAATGTTTGTGCATTCTACATTTTTAATTTAATGATGAATGTTCGTGCACATGTGTTCTGTTTGTTTTCAATGCACAACACAAACACAATGCTTTTGGACTCGATCAACGCTTCGGTGCTGAACATCAAGCATGCACGAGCTCGATCCTTGATGTTGTCATTGGACCCATAGGTCGAACCAGATGATGAGTTCGAGCTTTTTAGTTTGCTATAACTTGGGCCTTTTTTAGCTCGGGGTGTTTTGTCAGGCACGAGGCTTAATTCGATCAACACTTTGACCTTAAACACCAGGCACGTCTTAGCTCGATTCTTGATGTAGTCCTCGATGTCGAACTTGAGGGCCTGAAAGTCAGTCCAGATGATGCGTTCTAGGTCGTGTTTGACTTTTATCATGTCAACTTGCCCGACCCCGAACTTATCCGTTATTGATTTTAGATGCAAACTAGTTCAGGGTTAGTGACCCCAAGCTGTATTATGCAGCATGCCCGCATGTCATTATGCTAGAGTTTAGTTGCATGCCCGAAGTACGTCATTATGCCAAAGTTATTAGTTACATGCCCGTAGCACGTCATTACACTAATGTTAAAGTGGCTGCATGCTCGAAGCACGTTATTATGCCAAGGTTATTAGTTGCATGCCCATAGCACGTCATTACACTAATGTTAAAGTGGCTGCATGCCCGAAGCACGTCATTATGCCAAGATTATTAGTTGCATGCCCGTAGCACGTCATTACACTAATGTTAAAGTGGCTGCATGCCCGAAGCACGTCATTATGCCAAGATTATTAGTTGCATGCCCGTAGCACGTCATTACCCTAATGTTAAAGTGGCTGCATACCCGAAGCACGTCATTATGCCAAAGTTTAAGTAGTGCTAGGAAAAGAAAACTTTGAATATTATTAGGTGCTCAAGGGTACTTAGCCCGAGCTACTTGAAAGCAAAAAATGCTCAAGGGTTCATAGCCCCGAGCTACTAAAAAAAAAATAAGGCGGGCATGCAAGCCCTTGTGTAATGCTATTGCTATTCTACTTGTAATATATTTTTAGGTTATCCACGTTCCAAGGCCTCGGGAGTGGATTTCCTGAAGTATCTCTAAGGCTGTATGCTCCTCCTTTGATCCTTCGTATGACTGCGAATGGCCCTTCCCATACTGGTCCAAGTTTACCTGGAGGGTGTCCAGCAGCCTCTGCTCTTCTTAGAACCAAATCGCCATTCATAAATTCTCGGGACTTGACTTTGGTGTTGAAATACTTTGCCATTTTATTTTGGTAACTAACAGCTCTCAGTGAAGCTTGTTCTCTTACTTCTTCAAGCAAGTCAAGATGTTCGGTTGTTCGGTCTTCCATGCCGGGTTCAACCCTCCTTAAATTGGGAAGACTGACTTCGATGGGGATAGTGGCCTCCAAACCAAAAGCTAACATGAAAGGAGTCTCGCCTGTTGCTGTCTTATGAGAAGTTCTATATGCCCATAGTATAGAGGACAACTCATCGGGCCACTCACCTCTTGCATTTCCGATCCTGGTGCGAAGGTCCTGAAGTATGATTCTATTTGTCACCTCAGCGAGGCCATTGCTTTGAGGGTGCGATACTGATGTCAGACGATGGTCGATACCGAGATTGACACAAAATTTCCTGAATTGTGAATTGTCGAACTGCCTTCCATTGTTTGTTATAAGTACTTTGGGTATTCCGAACCTACATATAATAGACTTCCATATAAATGATCTGAGCTTGGCCTCTGATATTTTTGCTAGGGGTTCGGCTTCTACCCACTTTGTGAAGTATTCAACTGCTACCGCAGCAAATTTTAATTGTCCTCGGGCCATGGGGAAAGGACCAAGAATGTCGACTCCCCATTGTTCAAATGGTGCTAAATAATGGATAAATGTCAGCTCTTCTACAGGGGCATGTATAGCATTACCAAACCTCTGACATTTGTCACATCTTTTGACATATTCAGCTGCATCTTTTTTCATAGTTGGCCAGTAGTATCCATATCTTATTAATTTGTAGGCAAGGACCCTGGCTCCCTGGTGATTTCTGCATACTCCCTCGTGAACCTCAGTCAGGGCTTGGAGAGATTCGGAAGGCTTAAGGCATCTCAGATAGGGGAGCGTGAGACTTCGTCGAAACAGCACCCCTCCTATCATGCAATACCTAGCAGTTTTGGCTCGAATACTTCTTGCGGCACGAGGGTCAGGAGGTAGGTCTCCATTACTTATATACTCAACTATTGGATCAATCCAGGAGGGCTCATGGTCAATGTCCATGACGCTCGGCTTCATGTTTATGCTAGGCTCTGTGACAATCTTGATGTGCACTGTTTTGTTGAGTCCATCTATCCTCATGAAAACAAGTCTAGATAGTGCATCAGCTTTGGAGTTATCTGCCCTTGCTATTTTCAATATTTCACAACTTGTGAACTGCCTTTGAAGGTCATGCACTTTTAGACAGTATGAGCTCATCTTTTCATCTTTTCTTTCAAAGGATCCTTCAATCTGTCCAACAACGAGCTGTGAGTCGCTGAAGACTCTGATGTGCTCTAATTCCAAATTCCTGGCAAGTTCGAGAGCAATGACCACAGCTTCATATTCCGCTTCATTGTTGGTTGCTTCAAACTCAAACCTAAGTGCACATTAAACTTCAGTGGTTTTGTCCGGGCTGATGATGATTATCCCGGCCCCCGAGCCCGAGCTGTTCGACGCCCCGTCAACAAATATCTCCCAGTTTTTGAGGTCATGCTCAGGTTTTCTACTTCTAGCCTTTCTGTCTTTGGAGTGAGTTCAGCTATGAAGTCGGCCAGTGCTTGCGCTTTGATGGAAGGTCGAGGCTTGAATTCTATGTCGAACTCGCCAAGCTCAATCGCCCATTTTAATAGCCTTCCTGAGACATCTGGCCTCTGAAGTATGTGCTTAAGTGGTTGATTGGTGAGAACTATTATAGGGTGAGATTGGAAATATTGTCGCAACTTTCTAGCAGTTACTATCAAAGCAAGAGCTAACTGTTCCGCAAGGTTATACCGAGTTTCTGTGTCAAGAAGTACTTCATTGACATAGTAGATGGGTTGTTGTACCCTTTCTTTTTCCTTTACTAGTACCCCACTTACGGCATTTTGAGAAACAGCCAAGTAAAGGAACAAAGTATCACCAGGCTCTGGTTTGGCAAGAACCGAAGGTACAGCTAAAGTTTGCTTAAGTTGTTGGAAGGCTAGATCGCATTCGTCATTCCATTCAAAACTCTTGTGGCCTCTTAGAACTTTGAAAAAAGGGAAACATCTATCTGCTGCCCGAGAGACAAATCTGTTCAATGCTGCTACCTTACTTGTAAGCTTTTGGATGTCCTTTTTGCTCTTTGGGGCTTCCATAGATACCAGGGCTTGGATCTTGTCAGGGTTGGCTTCTATTCCTCTATTTGTGATCATGAAACCTAGAAACTTTCCTGATGCTACCCCAAAGGCACATTTTGTTGGGTTGAGCTTCATGTTGTATTTTCGTAGCGTGGAAAACACTTCTTCAAGATAAGTGATATGATCATCCACCTGTTTACTTTTGACCACCATGTCATCTACGTAAGCCTCAATGGTTTTCCCAATTAAATCAGCAAAGATCTTGTTGATTAGCCTCTGAAATGTAGCCCCTGCGTTCTTTAAGCCGAATGGCATGGCCTTATAACAATAGATGGTGGAATCTGCCATGAATGAGGTCTTCTCTTGATCTTCTATGGCCATTGGTATTTGGTGGTACCCTGAGAATGCGTCCAAAAAGCTGTACAGTTTGTGACCCAAAGTGCTGTCAACGAGACTGTCAATCCGAGGTAGGGGATAGCTATCTTTCGGACATGCTTTGTTCAAATCAGTGAAGTCAATGCAAATTCACCACTTTCTATTGGCCTTTTTTTACGAGAACTACATTGGCGAGCCAGTCAGGATATTGTACTTCTCGGATGAATTGTGCATTGAGCAGGTTGGCAATCTCTTCTCGTATGACTTCGCGCCGTTCAGGCGCAAACTGTCTTTTCCTTTGTTTGACAGGTTTGGCTCCTGGGTTTACATTGAGCCGATCTACGGCAACCTCAGGGTCAATTCCGGGCATCTTTTCAACTGTCCATGCGAATACGTCTTGGTTCTGAGAAAGACAACTTATGAGTTTAGCCATGATGGTTGAATCAAGGTCACGCCCTACTGTCACCTTCCTACCAGGCACGAGCTCGACCTTGACCAGCTCCTCTACTGGGGTGAGTCTCCCACGATTTTCAAGCTCGAGCTCGAGCTCTGTAAGCTGCATGACGTCGCCCTTTATTTTTCGGACACTGGTCACATAACACTGGCGAGCCATGGTTTGGCTTCCTCGGACGACCCCAACTCCACTATATGTGGGGAACTTCATCACCAGGTGAAAAGTTGAGATAACAGCTCTGATTTTATTTAGCAACGGTCTTCCCAGAATGACGTTGTAGGCCATCAGAGTTCGGACAACTTCGAAAGTTACGATACGGGTTACCTGCCGACCTTCAGATCCCAAAGTCATGGATAATTCAACAATACCTTTAGGGGTGATGACCCCGCCACCAAATCCTTGTAGGGGTGTTTTAACAGGCTTGAGTTGTTCCACTGAGATACCCATCTGAACTAAAGCTTCATGAGACAGTACATTAGCTGCACTTCCATTATCCACAAGAATTCTCTTGACCTCGAAGTTAGCTATGATGGCTGATATGACTAGGGCGTCATCATGGGGGAAGGATATTCCTTCCAAATCCTTGGACCCGAAGGTGATATCTTCCGTATGAGCAAGATCCGTGTTGGAAGAGACTGGAAGCTGTTTGGCGTACTTCTTATGTCCATTGTTGGTGTCTCCTCCTGAAGCTGTTCCTCTCATAATAACGTTAATAGTGCCAGCTGTTGGTGGTTCACTACCACGCCCTTCATGTATGTTATTCTGCTTGTTCCTCGGGCGTTTTTCATGGCTAGTGTAAGAGCCCAAAAAACCCCTCCTGATGAGGGCCTCAATTTGTTGCTTCAGAGCCAAACACCCTTCAGTGGTATGTCCGTGGTCCCGGTGGAAGTCACAGTACTTGGTTCTGTCTCTGTTTTCAGGTAATGATCGCATTCTGGGAGGCCACTTAAGCTCTTTGAGGTCCTTGATCTCCATCAGGATGTTGGACCTTGATGTATTCAGGGGAGTAAAAGTTTTCGGTCGGGGGTTTTGTCTTTGCTTGACCCGAGGATTGTCGTCTCATTGATTGGGTTCACGCGGTCTCTTATTGTCTGGCCTTAGCAAAGGTGAAACGTCCTTTCTTGGGGTTAGAGTTTCTTCCATATTGATATATTTCTCAGCTCGAGTTAGGAGGTCAGTTACTGACTTTAGGGAGGGGGGTTGGTTTGACAAAGACATCTTGAATGCTTCACATCTTATAGCGTATGTCAAAGATGAGACCACAGCTGTAATATGTAGATCGGGAATCTGAAATCTTTCTTTATTGAATCTGGTCATGAAATTGCGTAATGTTTCATTAGGTCCCTGGCGCATCTACATAAGTGATGCTGCTGTTTTCCTAATTCTCTTGCTGCTTGCGAAGAAAGTAGAGAATTTATCGGCCAAGTCTACGAATGAGGCGATAGAGTTTGGCTCTAATGTGGAGAACCAATCTCTAGCTGCTCTTGTAAGAGTTTGAGGGAAGGCCTTGCACATTACAGCGTCAGGTGCGACCTGTAGGTTCATGATATCGGTATATATATTGAGGTGGTTGATAGGGTTAGTGGTTCTATCGTACTCCTTTATCCTGGGGTACTTGAACCTATCCGGAAGGGGGTAGGACAGTACTTCAGGAGTAAAGAGAGTGCTAGGGGTAAAGCCTGTTGTCTCCTTTGATTTCTGTGCTAGGCCCGCGGCAATACCTTCTTAGATGATTCTGGCAAGCTCCCCTGACTCTATCGTTACTGCTCTTGATGCTGCGGTCATAGGAGGTATTCCCGAGGTTCCAACACCATTATCAGGGATGTTTTGCGGAGCTCGAGCTTGAGCAGCTGCCATAAGATCGCCATCCGGTGTTGGTGTATGCGATGGGTGTGAGTTTCTTTAGTTTAATAACTGAGTCAATGTGGTAACTTGTTGGCGAAGCTCTTCAAAAGCTCCGGTGGTAATGACAGCTGGTGGCGGTGTTTCCATCTCTGATGATTCCTCTTGAGGGACAGGGTGATCTCCAGGGGGAGGATTTGGAGCGGATGAGCTTGCTGGTAGAAGACCTGATCGTGTATTCACCATGGTTTTTGGTAGCGCTTCCCACAGACGGCGCCAATGATGCTACCAAAAAATATCACCTGAAAGATCTCGAGCTTGATGGTCCAACTTCACTTTGATAAACACAACCGATCTGTGATTACCTGCAACAAAGGCAACGAGGTGTGTGCTCGTCGCCCCTCCGATGCTTAAGTCAGATGGGGAATTTAGTGCGTGAAGCTATAAACTGAAGATAATGAAAAACGTACCTTAGTGTTGAGCTTTGGCCAAGTATTTATAGGTGTTGGTGGGGGAGCTGTAGAAGGATTCTATTATTGAAAGAGTCCTTTTCCCCTTAGGATTAGGTGTTGGAGTCTGATTAGAAGTATTCTGTTAGAGTTCTAATCAGGAGAGGAGTAGACTTAGGTGGGGTCTATTTTCTTTTGGAGATTAAGTCGGTGGGCAGGGTTGGAAAAGATACCCCGACCTTGAGTAAAACCTGACCTCAAATCGGCACAACACACTAAGATCAACTCGGGGTATTAGGTCGAGGTCGAGCATGGCACACGAAATCAAGTATAGTTCGGGGATAGCAATTCGGAATCATCACATTTATACTCATCTTTTGAAAATTCCGATTCCTCGGCCATTTTACGCCACCATCTATGTAATCATCTTGAAACGCAAATTCTTCAAAATCTGAAGAATTCATGGACAGTTCAACAACTTCGAGCGTACATATCAATGAAGTCGGGAAAGACGAGATCAAGAAAGATGTATACTCGGTGTGGGCGCTTCCGCCGGAGGACGTGAGGCCGCGGCTCAAGAAGTTAATGAACGATCTCAGATCGGAGTTCGGTGGACCGGAATTTGAGCCGCACGTGACCGTTGTAGGAACAATTAGCTTGACGGAGAGCGAAGCACGTGACGTGTTTAACAAGGCTTGCGAGGGGCTTAAGGCATATAATGCTAATGTGAGAGAGTTGCCACTGGGACTTTCTTTTATCAGTGTGTTTTTCTTTTGCTTCAATCCACGCCTGAGGTAATTCTTTAAATTGTTCGATTTTCCGTTTTCTTAATTTTCGGATAAAAATATTGGCTAGTTCTTTTATGTATTGTTCATCAGATTATAATAATTAATTTGGAATAATCTAAAAAACCAGTGAGATCAAGAAAAAAAAATTGTATAATAATGACTGGAGACAACTGTGAAAGCAAAATTTCTTCAGTTTCTTTACCAACTATTGGACTGAAAATTGTAAAAGAACAAAATGCTTGTTAAGAAGAATGTAGTAGAAATTAACATGTTAAGATGGATGAATTGTTATGCTAAGATGAATAAGATATCAAATGAAATTGCCTCTTTTCTTCACATTTTTTCTGTAGACCTAGCAATAAAGTGAACGGAGAAGGAAAAAAATGAACTCTTGTTACAGACTCCAAAGTATTTAAAAGGAGCTTAGTGTTTTGTTGAGTTTGTTGTATTTTCTTTTGACTGCTTAAAATACAAAGGGAGATTGAAGGGGAAATCGGAAAACAGTGCAATACCATGCTTGGTGAGATTAAGGGAAGCTGGAGAAAAAGGATAATGCTATTTATACATTCAAATTGTACATTGTTGTTGACGTTGTGTGATGTGTAAAAGATCCGACCATTGATTTGAACGGTTGTTATTCAAATAAATGGCCAGATTGTCTGCTACATCACAGTGTCAACAAAGATATCAAAAAATGTAAGTGTAGCATGATTGGGAGAAAAATCATATTATCTACCTCTTTTAACATTCAGTTTGCGGAGAAAAAGCTATCCCATTACCTTTTTGGGACGGTAGTTGTAAATTTCTAGTATGCTTTTGTTTATTATTAAAGAATCGTTTGTTGCATTCACTGCAATAAACATGAAAAGAAAGAGAAATAGTTATGAGGTGAAATGATTTGTATTCCTTTAGAAATTAAGCGGTGGGTTCATATGGTTGCTTGATTCATAATTTGCTATTGCACAAGGGATACAAGCGTACAACAGTCTCTTTTTCTCCATTAAGCATTGGGCGTTGTCTCATGTCTAGTCTAGTACACGTATGTCATGTTTGGCATCATGGATTGGTAGGGCTGGACATTATTGAGGATAAAGGAATTAAAAATCTGTTTTGTATGGTGTTTCTGGTAATGTGTACCAAAGATATCCATGTGCTTTCATGTTATTCTCTATAAATTGGTGATGTGAAATTCCTGTAAAACAGGTAATGGAGGCTAGCACTTACTGCACCAGTCATTTTGGTTTCAAGACCTTAACACGTAAGTCATCAAACTAACTTTGAATATAGTGATCTTATACCATTTTAACTGTGTTTAACCTCTCTCTCTTTCTTGGTTTACCAGAAGTAAACGCTAGAAAACTACTCTTCTTTAATAACCCGTCTGTTTCTTTAAAAGCAAGACTTCTCAGTATGGATTCTTTGTGATCTACTAAAATAGATTCTAATCCTGAAAAGTCTTCCATGTTCTTGCAG